TTTCGTAGACAAAACTTGTGTTGAACAAAATGTGTCCAAATATAATTACTTAGTTGTTTGTGTGACACGCGGAGGTTAACGAACTACATTTTTATTTGTTGCTATCATGCCGACCTGTGACCTTTGCGAGACAATAGTTTGCTTCGTTTAATATAAGGAAGTAGAGAAACAACTTTTTAGCTCGGATGTCGGTAATTGGATGTTGGGTACTGATCAGAGTGGTCAGTGATCAATTGGAATGAGACAAGATGTAGGAGTGCGGTCTTTTCTTTATAAAGTTTCGTTATATATTTTACAATGTTAAGTTGTTTCCAGTTTGGTACATTCTTGTTACGTGTATGCGTTGTTTTTGTTTAACAAGCCATCTGTCCACTGTGACTAGGTTTAAAAATTCGCATCGATGAAGTCAGAGCGTATTGTGATTCCGTGCGCATGCGCATTCTAATACCTTTCACTTGTGTACGTGCACAGTTCATCCTTTACATTTTTTAATGAAAGCCGAAGCATTAGAACTTATATTTTATCGTAAACACTTGCGATCTCAACCGACACTTAAATATACAATTTTATATTATTAAAAATCTAAATATTTAACAATTGACCTTCCTTTTTGTATATTTATGATATCCCACCACTGGCCACCGCCGCAATTTCTTTTTTTACCGCCAGTAATAAAATAAATAAACTCGGACAGTCCTAATTCTAATCTAACAGCGTCAAGGTTCGCGAATTTTTCTCCAATACATTCGTTTCCTTGACACACATTGCGTTGATGCGCCCGCGCAGCCGCGACGCGTTAAACTGGCCGCGGATAAAAACTAGCCTTTGAATCATTGTCTGATAAATTTGCCAGTTTTAAACTTTTCATTATATTATGTAAATTGTACATTATGTGTGTTTGTTTAGATTGGATTAGATCAGCACATTTGTGTGGAACAGAATTTTGATAAATTATGACGCCATATTGATTTTCAGAAGCCACTGGTCCCCACTTATTTAGCGGCGATATCGTCTAGACGTACAAATCAAAACAGACAGAAACTCTTCTAAATAGTCGATATCATTTTTTATTTCAAACTACGTTTTTGTTTGCAGCAATAAGTTTCAGCTAGCAGGCTGGTCTCGAATCATCTATGAATTAGCTCGTTTTCAATGTTACCAGTAAGAGAGCCGGTTGCCTTAGATACCATTGGCCTTGGCGCCTAAATGTCCCAATTCCAACAACTATTTCGCATGAGATCGTCTTGGCGCCAATTTGTTTTATTGTTTTTTTTTCTTAAACGATAATTGTCTGTATGTAGGGCGCAGGGTTGCGGTGTTAGTCGAACAGCTAAAGCGTATTTTTGAATCTGTGCAGTCCCAGATCCAGTGTTGCCATTTATTTTATTTTTAGTCAGCCGTAGGCTTTGATTTATGAAATGGATAGGCATAGTGTTTTCTTTAGATGATATTTCCAAATGTCCAGAAGAAGGAGTTTTTTTGTTTTGGTTTGTGAATGAATACGCACCCTACAACGCAGTTGGTGAAGAATGGTGTAGGTGTTATACCCTTTTGTCCCTTTAGGGAAAATAATTGTGTTAGGCTATTATAATGTTATTGTGTTTGGTATATCTCGAGGCGGTAAAACGATCGAATTCACATTGTCCTTGTGTTCTCATAGTTAGTGTACTATGTACCATGATTTACTACTAGATAACAATAGATATAATATCGTCTGATACAATATCAAGCGTAGCGTAGTGTAGCTATAGAATTCCGCTCATAAATTAATTATTATGATAAGATGTTAATCAAGTCGATCACGTGACATGTTGTGATTATGGGGTCTTAGAAGCAATTTTAGATGACAATGCTTACCATAGACTTATTGCTCTCTCATAGCTCTCATAGATAATGATAGCTGATATTAATGACATAAGTTGTTCCAAATTTAGCTATTGACATATTGAGTTTTCTTTCTTTATTGTTTTTAGCCTAACCTAACTGTATCCAACGATATAATAACAGGAAATGGCATTGAATTGGTGGTTCTATATATAGTTCTATAGTTTATTTTATAATTAAGTAATATTTTAATATTGCTCCATATTGTTCGAATGAAAAAAAAATTTACCCACTACAGTCGTCACATTTAACTGTAAAAGTTAACTAGAGAAACAATTTCTCAAAGATTTCTAACCAATTCATCAAGAGTGAAATGTTAAAAAGTACCGTAATGGGTACTAAAAAGGTTAAAAAGTCCCATGTTTTATTGTTACTTTTGTTTTCTGATGTTTCACTTCAACCCCATGTAAAGGGTTGACATTACGCACCGTTTTTTATTGCTTATTTATGGCCACCGTAAACTGAGTCGTAACAAATACTCTTTGGTTACAACATGCCAGTAACATTGTAAGTAAAAAAATGTTTTCTATCAATACTCCATCGTAAAGGGTTTGTTTTATTATCTGTGGACAGCATAAAATAATGGTAAATTTTAATGGTCTATATTTCATTGGCGGCGCAGTCATAAAAAACCAACGGTAAGTAGAATGAAAATAGATTTTTGTGTATGTTTTGTACATATTTGTTTAATTCTCCCTTGTTGTACCGTATTGAATATTTTTATTGTTGTGTGTCTATCTTTTATCGTCTCAACTGTTGGTAAGAACGAACAGCAAAATATCGTTAAATTGTATTTTCTTAAAAATTGCATATTTCGAAGATGCAAATATTAAACATAAATAAAATTTTAAGAACAATCATAATAAATCACTCCAAATTGGTTTAGGTTATACTTATCCAAAGCAAATATTTATGTTTGGTACCACTAAAAATATACATGACAGCGCAAAATATAAATTAAAAGATATTGTGGAACAATGGGAATGAACTTGATGTAAAAAAGGAAATAGGCACAAAGAAAAGCATGGGTAAATCTATTATATTCCGCAGATCATTTGGTGAAAAAACAGTGAAAGTAGTCATAGTATTACATTACGTCGCGTTGACAATATAAAAACAAACGTCAGTCGATACGAAGTGCTGGCGGTCGTTCGTCAACATTCGCCGGTTTTCGGCCACCATCGGCACAAAATGTCGCGATGCGCAACCACATTACCTAGAGCCGTGCATGTCCCTGCAAGTAGACGCGACGCGGTACCGAGGGGGGACTGGTAGCACTATCGCGGAGGTCACGTCTCGGTGGTCCGCGGACATCCGCGCTTGTCTCGCCGACCTTGGCCTAGTTTGATAGTGGGCTCTAGCTCGCGTCGCAGCTGTTATACAGATAGCTCTGACAATCCACTTCCTAATGGACTTTTTGTCTGTTATCACTGAAGATGACTATAAAAGTACTAAAGGTATAATGTGACGTCGACGCATGTTTGATTTTCGCAGCTTTCAACAATTTTAACACCGCGGCAACTTTATCTCTTGCATTCCTTTAGAGCGTGAACAAAAACTAATTATGCAAATTTAATGATTTCGTTGATAACGTCTCTTTTGATACATGACCTCATTTGATACAATAAATGTTTAATGCCTTTAATTTAAAAAATGAATGTCTATGTGTATTTTAGGTCATATGTTTCGCTCCCGTTTTACTGATAATTTTTAAGACAAATTTGCAGGTACCAGACTGGTGAAACTTTTCCGAAGGACATCTGTGACGCATAAGTGTGCGTAGTACGTACCACTACCTACTTATTATTACATAATGCACGTGCTTACCTCTTTAAAACCCTTACAAAAGTCCCAAACACTTTAGGATGCCCAAAAAGAATATTAGTTTCTACATATACATTGGCACAAAAACATCAAGCTTGCTTGTTACTCAAAATTAACTAGAGTTTCAGTATTTCAGCTTAAATCTTTACATCAAATAAGCCAAGGTCCAATCACTAAGTCACGGCTACATACATCTATCTCTCTTCCACACCTATTCGTTTGTTTCAACATTCGTCACTGCTAAAGCCATTCATTCATTAATTGAGTGTGCAATGAAATTCGGGGACATCCATGACCTACTTTAGCATATAGAGTAGCTATGGCTTTATAAGACATTGTCAATGCCATATGTGCCGCGCAAAAAAAAAGAAAATAAAGTGAATGCGCGGGAACTATGACAGATATATTTTGACATTACAATGGCGGCAAACTTTGATAATTTTTTTTTAATATATTTAAATCTAAATAAAAGTTAAACAATTAGTTGTTTATTTCACATTTATCTATAAATAATTATTTCTTTATGAGTAAGGTTTGACTCAACGATACAGTGCCTTACCTTAAAATCTACGAGCAAAACTCAGATTCGGCATTGACACACAGACAGTCAATTATTTTTTATTACAGTGATAGTGAAGGCGGGAGTGGGACAAACATATTCTATATCTGTCTCCCTCTCGTATTATTTGTAAATAATTTCCTAGTACCAAAATAAAAGCTTTACTATTAAAATAGACATATATTTTGTTGCCTAGTTTCCTCCTGATTTAGTCTGCTGTGTCTAGAATAAAATTACGAAACCTTACAAGTTGAGCCATATTAATATCTTCATCTTCAATATAAATACCCACGGCCACCATTTCACTTTCTGAATACTTTTACTTTCTTATACAAGATTTTGTTATTGTAACTAAAATAATAGAATGTCTACCAGAGACAAAAAAGAACGAAAACATTTGTTTTGTTGGCAGTGTAGCCAACGGAAAAAAATAATAAGAATCTCGATATTGTTTCGTAGTTGCAGGAAAGATGGGCGCGTTTAATAAGAAAATAGTATTGCCACGATATTAACTTGTCAAGTTAATGTAAGTGGTAATTGTTTTGTGGCAAGAGGTTCTTTTTTTATAAAAAAATATCGATTTAAGTAGCTGTCATGTCATGCTTTACGGGCATTGGTATGAAATTATATATTATTCGACATCTCTAATGTATTCACTGAAGCATGTTGCTTATTTTGTTCTATGCGCCATGTGATTATGTTTGTGCTAATGAGTGGCTACGTACATGTGCAGGTAAAGTGTTGGCATTAGTCATAGCTCAATCATTTGGCAGCCAAGTTATGTCCATAGATCGGGAACACACCGCGCCCGCCCACACAGTTCAGTCCCCCACTCCTCGCGTACTGCGTGTGCGCCGACCTTAGCTACGTATAACACGTCTACATTAAGCAACCTTGATCTCTACCTACTACTGAAAAATGTTGCATTAAAAACACCCAAGTTATTGTCTTGCACTACACATGTAATACACACAATTAACATCTCTATGCCACCACTAATAGAGTCTAAATTCATTAATTATATCTTTTCGTGGACCTTGACGGCTGGCCTTGCCTCTATCTGGCGTCCGCTCTTTCCGCCTTCGCCGAATCAATTTAAACATTATTATTTATATTGAGTTATTTAATAAAAAAATTATTATTAAAAAAACAAAATACCCGACTGCACACTAAAAAAAGAGTAAAACAAGCCCCACAATACAAATTTACTGAATATAATTTATAAATGTTGATGGAAAGCATCGCAGGCGGGGACCAACAGAGGCTTATTTATAGTCATTTCTGTTGTGCACCATTTAGCAGAATTTTCGTTGGTGGCGGTCAAGGTGGTCTCCGCCTGCGATGCTTTCCATCAACATTTATAAATTATATTCAGTAAATTTGTATTGTGGGGCTTGTTTTACTCTTTTTTTAGTGTGCAGTCGGGTATTTTGTTTTTTTAATAATAATTTTTTTATTTATAACTTTTTAGCTGTTTTTATTTAACGAAAATGTTGTAGATGTAGAAGACTATGTATATGTAAGTACCATTTTAAATTATTTCGACGACATTTGGCTTTAGAATGATACCGCATACATATTTTTTTAAAGGGAAATTTAGAAAAAATATTATTATGTCTTTATCCCGTGGGACTTTTAGGATAAAATGTATCCTATGACACTCCCGTAATCAAGACAAATCTAACGATACCTCATACATCAAAATCCATCAAGCCGTTTAGGCTACAGGAGGTCACAAAGGAAGAGACATACATACATACTTACATACACTCGAAAAACATTACCCTCCTTCTTTGGCAGTCGGGTAAAAATACCTTTGTAACTATTTTATAAAGTAAGCAAATAATAAAAAAAAACATTTAATTTAGTCTGAAAATACTAACAAAATCGTATATTTAAAACGAGAGAAAAAATTTCAGCAGCCTTGGTTTTTCTTGATACCGAAAATTAAAACGCCTTGACCTTGAACTAATATAGAGGCATAAATAAACAGAAACCTGTGAAATGTGTACCAATAATAATAATATTGAGCACACGACTTGTCATTGAATAACTGAATATATTCGCGACAGTCCCATAGCCGTAGGATTAAGGTCGCTGTAAATACCGACCTATAAAAATGACCTATTTAGTAAACGAAAAAAGGCAGTCGAAAATTCGTCGTCGAAATGTGCTCACGCGCACACACCGGCCGCCGCAGCCGTACGTAATCACTAAAAGTGTGTCATGATCACTGGGTTAAGTTTAAACGTTTCAACTGAAGGTTTTTATACAGCGGCGTGTGGCGGGGCTCACACGTCACCACCATGCCTCAACTTAAGGTCAATTTTTCGCAACTTCACACCACCATGCGAATTGGCTCCTTACCTTCGAAGCGCAGAGTGTCAAATTCAAGGCTCTATTGGTTATATAAAGTGGACGTGCAATTGTTAAGCATAGAATGGATGATGAAGCGTGTTCGGATTTAGGTCGATCTAATTTGCAAGTAGGTTATCTCGCCTCGGATAAAAATAAAGGAGAATAAATTGTTTAGCGGAGCACCTGTCATCGTGCTCTGAATTCTTTTTTTTTGTTAGAAACTGTTCCAATTCAGAACATATCCTAAAGACCCTATAATCCTGTAATGGAAGGGCCGGTCTAAGTAAATACTAGCTCCGTTTGTAGTATAATCCACGTTCATTGGATTAGATTAATTACCTTGAAGTGCCACGTGATGCGCCCACGCACACACTGGCGCCTTCAATATTTTTATACGCGTAAACAAATCCGGATTATGAGTTATTTTAGTGAGTGTGTCTCCAAAACTAGTGAACTAATTCCGATACAGCTTTGCGGCTTACGTATACTTCTGTAGTAAATTTATTTTTATTTATTGGCACAGTCTTTTGATACACTTAATGCTGTCAGAAGTAATTTACTCGCCGGTTTTATGTACAACATTGTTTAGATTCCTTTATTTCCTTTATATTTCAATGTTACAAGTCTTTCAGCGGGAGACCTTGTATCACGATATTAACATTGCGTTCTGAAGTGCGGTGCATCGAAATCGCGCGCTCTAATTAGGCATAAGTTGGACTCGTATTAAAAAGGTCATTGGAATATGGCAATATTGTCTGTAATTAGTATTAAATGAACCAACTTTTATGAGCTGCGGTTCTTTTGAAAGTTTTTGATATTCATTAATTATTATGACATGCTAGTCGTTATTATAAATGTTATGTTCGTGAGACTGTAACATAATAGGAGTTCTAAATCTTTAATTAATGTGATTTAGATTTTGGATCTTCGATAGTGTCTGAAAGTATAAAAAATTTAATAATTATTTTGATACTCAATACTCAAATTTAATCCGAGCAAATGATTTAGCCAACTTAATATTAAACAATTTAAATATTTTCAAACGTGTCAATAAAGTTAAATAAGTTAATATGTGTACAGACATAAAAAGGTATAACCATTGAGTCATCGATTACTATACAAACCGGTGATGTGCTGCACTTGCACAAATTGTGATAATTTAGGGCGCGTTGCGACAGCCGCTGCGTCTGCGCATATGACCGTTTTGATTTTAAACAATAACTGGCCGGTTGCACAATATGCCCTAGTTACACGTTATAATTTGTTTGTTTGATTAATTGTGTACGTGTACGGGTTTTGATTTAGTAATTATTATTATTATTCCGTATTCTTATAAAAATGTGTGTTTTAAAAAGAAAATTAATTATACCTTTGATCCTTTTTATTGCTTTGACAGAACGAAGATAGTTAACACCGCGACTAAACTTTAAAAGAAAAACCAACCATAAAGCTATATAAGTTTTATTAATCACATATTTTTCCATGTAAAATACTCAAAATTGATACGAACTTGACGCATTGATGGCTAATCAGTTGCTAAAACAAATCCGTTAATGACTAATCGATGACTTTCCCAGCAGACTCTGGTTTTATTTAAAATGACGTGTGAATACGGCCATACACATTACAAACGCGTTTATCTGGCCCAAATGGTGCCCTTGGTCCAATTTAGCCGGCAGATAATATAATTGGCTGTCCCAATTCCCTTGAATGTCACTGTCTCAAAGTGGGGTAATAGTTACGAGGGACAAGCTACGAGTATATAGGATAAAATGTATTTAATAAAGTATGTACATATTGTTTTATATATGTATCTATGTGTGGCTCTCTTGTGCCAATGTTTGGTCGTTTTGTATCATTCGTACTAAGTATCCTGTAATTGTTTTCAATTGAAAATACATTCTTTGTGTTTTGAGAAAATTACTTGTGACACAAAAGACTGTAGGTAATACCTTTACTTTTTAAATATGTAAAGGAAAAAGGATTTTCATCATAAATTGGCAACAAGACTTGAAAAAAGCCTCTCAGGTTCTCTATTACTATTGTTTTTTTTTAAAAGAATAGCTCACTCTGACAATTATCGTAGGCCTCCACAGTTGTAAAGTTCTAACACACTAGAGTTCTATATTTCACAAAAATATTTATATAGTATAATATTTTATCTCTTTAGGACTTACAAATGAATATAACTAAATTATGATTGCTCAGGAAATATAATCATTGCGATGTACATGCAAGTTATTGAGGTAAAGAGGTTACTGGGCCGCAGACTAGCAGTTTGTCACTCTGTATCTAGTATTACGGTGTTTTGCCCAACACTACTTACACTAGTTTTACATAACAATACATAATGTACATTACTATATATTGTTACTATTCTTTAAGCCTAAAAAGGTTTTACTGAAAGAGGCACGAAATCCTATTTGTAATATATCCTTTAATTTATTCTGTTGTTGCATGTTGTTCTGTGTTTGAGGTTTTCTTATTGCTGAAATTAAAACATTTTAATCAGGTGCGAATATAAATTATTTTGCGATGTATTCTATATAAATGAGGTATTCAAATATGTCTAGTTCCAAATTCTACGTCTGAAATAATTTTGATAATCTCAGAATTAAGTGCGACGCCAAAAAATGCCGACTCTCTCTATTAAAATGATCATTCACAAAATAAATAAAATTTAGTAACATTTTTGGTTACAATATTTGTCCTTAGGAATAACTATATAATTTGATTTATGACAATATAATGTAACCGTTTTTTATAAATTATAAAATTCTGATGAATTATGTTTGTATGATGTATTAGCGAATTTCACACAAGCTTCAAAACAAAAAATAATAAAAAAACAAATATAATTATGATGCAATGGATGGCCTTGCATATAGGAATATTTTTCCAAAACGTATGTATATAAATATGTTCAGGTGATGATAATATTGGCAGTTGTGACGTCACATATTTCTTCATTTAATATTGTAACAACGCATTGAAATTCCTGTAATACTAGGTAATAATGATGAGCACGTGCTTGGCGCATGCTTGTTTGAAAATGTTTTTGCTAATTTATTCGGAGGTTAGTTTAGAATTATAAAACGAACTCTATACCTTGCTATTTTCACACGTTCTGTCACAAAATCCTACAGCTATCTGCCAACACAAACAGCCCTTTCATCGCTGAAGGAAATATGACAACATTCATTTTGATCACGACGCACGCGCGCCGCACGGAATCCGGTAGTTATCACTGCAAACATTCAGCTGAATAGAGACAAATAGATGCCATAGTTTATAGGCGTGAGCGAGAAAGAAGCAAGGTTACCGTCAGGGCCGGGCATCACGAGTCGGAGTTATCGATGCAAGTGGTATCGAATCTACTGATTATCTATAAATCATGTTAATGACATTAAGAATTGGGTTTCAGGGAACGTGTCCGAGGTTACCTCGATAACTTGAACTGCAATTAATGTGGGAGATAACAAGTAGCCTTGCATTTTGGAATATTA